GCTGCTGCTGCTACTACTTCTACTACTGCTACTACTACTACCACTACTACTACTACTACTACTACTACGACGAGGGTTGAAGCACTGCTGCATCCAGTGCTCGATGAGCTCACCGGCCGAGCTGTGGTTCCTAGGGTCTAGGATGGCTCAGGGGTTAGACTTCGGGGTTGAGGTGTACGTTTATCTCTTCTTTGAGCCGAAGATGATTAGGGTNNNGGTTTAGACTTAGGGTTTAGGGTTTTGGGCTGTCGAGCTGCTCGTTTAGCTCGTCTTTGAGCCGAAGATGTTTAGGGGTTAAACATAACATAGGGTTTCGGGTTCAGTGTTGTGGGCTGCCGAGCTGTACCTTTAGCTCGTCTTTGAATTTGAGCCGAGGGTGATTAGGGTTTAGACTTAGGGTTTGGGGTTTAGGGTTTCGGGTTGCCGAGCTGTGCATTTTGCTCGACTTTTAGGTGAGGATGCTACGATTTAGGAATCAGTTGTTGGCATCCGGGTTTATGTTGCTAGAAATCAGATGACCCCTAAATTTGTCAACCCACAAACTAAGACCCTTCCCACAAAGCACGAACTCGCCGGCCGAGCTTTGGTTGCCAGGGTGCAGAGGGTTTAGGGTTTTGGGGCTGCCGAGCTGTACCTTTAGCTCGTCCTTGAGCCGAACATGATTAGGATAATTAGGGACTTAGGGTTTGGGGTTTAGGGTTTTGGGCAGCTGAGCTGTACCTTTAGCTCGTCTTTGAGCCGAAGATGATTAGGGTTTAGATTTGGGGTTTGCGGTTTATGGATTTGGGCTGTCGAGCTCTGCCTTCAGCTGGTGTTTGAGCCGAAGATGTTTAGGGTTTAGACAAAGGTTCCGGGTTTAGGGTTGAGCTGTACCTTTAGCTCGTCTTTGAACCGAATGATTAGGGTTTAGACTTAGGGTTTGGGGTTTCGGGCTGTAGGGTGCCGAGCTGTACCGTCTTTTAGCCGAGGATGCTACAAGTTAGGGATCGGTTGTTGGCATCCAGATTTATTTCTCTAGAAGAATGAAGACTTTCTTAACCCCAGCCTACCGAGCCCTTGCAAGCCCCACGGAGGCCCGGCAAGACCCAATCATACAAGAATAGTTGCTCTCGAGCCAGACACTACCAGCTAAGTCAGAAACCCCCAAACCCCAAAACACTAAACCCTAAAACTTTAGCCTAAAGCCCCCGAGGCCTAGCCCTGCATAAACCCCAAAGCCCAATAAGCCCTGACCCTAAACCAAACCCCTAAAACCCCGAAGCCCTCGCCAAGAACTGCAGCCAAGAGGTGATGAGTCGGAGGGCGACAGCAGCGATGACGGCGAAGAAGCAGGTCGCATCTTGAAGAAAGTGATGTTTCCCGATGTGGGAAAGAAGCCTCAGGACTCGTGCATGGCTGTCACTAGCTGCCTGCAAAAGCGAGCTCAGAAGCTACAGCCTGTGATGGACAAGCTGGACACCCTTGCCAGTGCCGACATCACGACCTCGCTAGGGAAGAGCCTCGCCCAAACCTGGCCCAGTTAGTTTCCATTGTGCGAGTACAACAGCCCGCCCTACTTTTTTGAAACAAACCTAAGGTACAAAGAGTCCCTCAAGATCGTGCTGGCAAAGCTCTCCGAGCTGGAGGATACCCTGACCACCATCTACAGCAATGGGGTTGCTGTTGGATTCTCCAAAGAGAGCCTCGCCATAGACCATTTATGTGCTACTCACGAGCATGTGGCTTTCTCGCCTATAGTTGTGCCAAGGGACCAGAAGAAGCTCCGGGCGCTTTTCCAGACCGCCAAGACCAGGCAACTGGGTGTGCAGTCAGAGGGACATGTCCTATCGTATGGGCAACCATGCTAAGGGCCGTCGAGGCCGAGATGATCTTTGAACGTTCCAAGAACTTCAAGCCGCCTGTACTGCATCCCTTACAACTAAGCCCCTAACCCCTAAGCCTTAAACCCTTGAACCCCTACACCCCTAAGCCCGAAATTCTAAACCCCTGCACTCTAAGCCCTGAACCCCGGAACCCCTAACACCAAACCCTGACTAACCCTTAAACCGCAAAGCCACCTGTTGCTTCGTTTGCATGTTGCCCTCTGTCGCCGGTGCTTAATATTGGGTCCCACTGCCCTTGTTCCAAGCTAAGGTTACCCGGGAAGCCCGAAGCCAAGACCGAGCCAAAGGTGAAAGCAAGACCCAAGGGTGTTCCGAAGGCCAAAACGGGTTCCAAGAGAGCCCAGCAGGAAGCTGATGATGAGGAGGATAAGCCGGCCAAAAAGGCCAAGAGGTAGATGCTCAAAGTATAAGCCACCAGCTCGGCATGCAGTTCGATATCATGATGTTCGGTAAAACGAAACTTAGCAACGAACCTCGACAGAGCTGCTGAGCTGTTTCTTTTGCTGAAGCAGTACTAGCTGCTGGACCGCCAGCTTCCGGAGGGAGCCCAAAAGATTGCACCCTGCCTGAAACCTCAGAGTTCATAACCCTACTTAAAGCCAGGAACAAAAGATTGAACCCTGCCTCAAACCTTAGGACTTCTAGGGTTTAGGGTTTAAGCTTTAAGGATTTAGGGTTTAGGTTTTAGGATTGTGTGGGCAAAAAACCTTGGACCCCGCCTAGGACCTAGGACCTAGGAGATCATAACCCGAAAGCCTAAGCCCCACCCGACCCGGAAAATTACGCCGAAGAACCCAAACCGACAGCTCACAAAAGCATAAAATGTCTATTTGTACGATCAACAAAGATTGGACCTTGCCTGACCTAGGACCTAGGAGCTCATAACCAGAAACTCTAAGCCCCACGCGAAGAACCCAAACCGAAGCCTTAACAAACCTCAGATATCTAGTGTAGGAGAAAAAAGTTGAACCCTGCCTGAAACCTAATGGCTTCTAGGGTTTAGGGTTTCAGGGTTTAGGGTTGAGGATTGTATGAGCAAAAAAGCTTGGACTCATAACCCGAAACCCTAAGCCCCACCCGACCCGGAAAATTACGCCGTGTAGAACCCAAACCGAAGCCTTAACACACCTCAGATATCTAGTGTGGGAGACAACAAAAAAAGAGATTGAACCGTGCCTCAAACCTAAGGTATTTTAGGGTTTAGGGTTGAAAGGGTTTAGGGTTTAGGACTGTACGAGCAAAAAGCTTGGACCCCGCCTCGGTGCTAGGACCTAGGACCTAGGAGCTCATAACCCGAGACCCTAAGCCCCACCCGACCCCCAAAATCACGCCGAAGAACCCAAACCGAAGCCTTCACAAACCTCAGATATCTGTGTAGAAAAAAACAAGAACCCTGACTCAAACCTGAGGGCTTTTAGGGTTTAGGGCTTGAGGCTTCTGATTGTAGGAGCCCAAAAAGCTCGGACCCGCCTGAAAGCAAGGACCTAAGACCTAGGAGCTCACAACCCGAAACCCTAAGCCCCACCCGACCCCGAAAACTACGCCGAAGAACCCAAACCGAAGCCTTAACAAACCTCAGGTGTCTAGTGTAAGAGCCAGCCAACAGTTCGACCCCGCCCAAGTCGATTCACGAACCTTTATTCCCCCTACCTGAACCCTAAGTCCTAAACCCCAACCCTTCTCACGCCAGGTTCCTCGGACGAAGACACCTTCGGCCGAGCAGCTCAGTATGCTGAGATGCTCGGGGAAGGAGTCGGGGTCCTCGGAAGTGGCGAGGTCTATGGGGTGCAGGTTTCGGAAAAGGTTTCGTAGTAAAGGCCATTTGCAAGTATTGGAGTCATGCTTGCTAAACCCTTCAGATGCTAAGTTAGCCTTGGGTTTTCTAATTCCAACCATAGGCATATCAATCGCCATGAAGTTCGAGAACGGCTAGTCTTTCTGCCAGATACAAGATTCTGGGTGAAAGGCCCTCAAATCCTAAACCATCTAGGTCCTAAAACATAGAGGCATGATACCCATGGCCAAAGCTTCAAACCGAAGAACCCCCCCGAGGCCCAAAGACGATGATTTGTCCCCGATAACCCTACACCTCGTTCTCCTTTCATTCTTCTGCCAAAGACAACAATCCCGAAATGTGATAAGAAAGCACCATTGCCTCTCCAAACCCACACCTCAGTCCAAAACCCAAAGTTATTCCCGCAAAGGACAACCCGTGCTTGCCCAAGATTGTGTTGGTGTGTAGGATGTTAAAGTCCGGAACCCAAAAGTCTACGAAACTGTCGAAGTTCTGAGGATCCCGCCCTCAAAGCAACCAAACAGGAAGACCGAGCCTCCTTGGATCCTTAGAGGTTTAAAGCCAGCCCAGATGCCTTTGAAGGCCCGAAGCACAGATAGGACCCTGGGCCTGTGTCCGGTTCGACAAGCAAATCTCCCAAGCTAAAGCTCCAGACCCAAGTCAGTAAGGCTGTAGGGCTTCGGGTCAGACCGAAGTCGTTAAGAGTGTAGGGCTTAGGGACAGAGCCAAATCGTTAAAACCCGATATGATAATACCCCCAAGCCCAAGGAGCAAAGCTATAATCCCTATTTTTCAATCGTTTCGGCAGCGAAAACTAGTTCGCCGAGGCCAGTGCCAAGGACACCAAACGGTGCATCCGACAGATGCAGCATCCGAATGAGCCGGAGCAGAAAAGGAGAGAGGCACCGAACGAGGAGAGAGACTGCCACAGATTTTTTAAACGATGGGGTTTGTCTTTGCCTGTGCCAGTGACCGAAAAAACCTTCATGCTGTCTGACAGAGAGAAAGCTGAGACTGCTTATATACGAGTCCAAGACTGGTTGCTGTATCTTTTGAAGCGGAATCGTTCGTTGCTCGCTGGGGGCAACGAATCTTTGGAGTTCCAGCTGGAGGCCTACTGGATGGCTTACAGGCAGACTCACAGCAGCCATCCGGTGTTCGATCGAGGGCTGGACCTCGGGACCACGATTCCGTTGGCTTTTTATTCCGATGAAGGCAAGGGCCCGAAGCGAGGCAACTTCGTGGTGGTTGCCATAGAGTCGCCGATAGGTTTGGAGGATGTGGCTGCTGATTTTACTTGCACTTGTGAAGATGATGTGAAGAAGGCATCGCAGCAGTTTGTTCCGGGCCAGCAAGCAGCCGGCCCGTACACGCCGATGGAAGAGGCCGCCCTTCAGCAAAACCACACATGCAAGGGCCACTCCTACCTCACCAGACATGTGCTGTTTGGGCTTCCAGATTGGATTTACAAACACCACCCAGAAGTCTTGGAAAAGATGACCCAGCAGGTTGCTGACGAGCTCTCGATGCTTTTTACATCAGGCCTGGAGGTCGCTGGCAAGCTTTACACGGCTTGCCTTGTTGGTATCAAAGGCGATCTGAAACAGATCGCCGAGAAAATTGCTTATCTAAATCGATACTATGCCCGTTTGGGCCCCGTGAGCTACAACGGTGTCTGTGCACATTGTATGGCGGGCACGAGCCCAAGTCTTCCTTTTGATGAGATTTCGCATGAGCCATCCTGGGCTTCGACACTCCATCAGCAGCGACCTTGGGCCTCAACACCTGCTTTGTGCACCGTCCCACACGACAACGATGCACCGGAAAGAGTTCTGAAGTATGACATGTTTCATCTTTTCAAAGTTGGCCTCGGACGAGATATTTGTGGCTCCCTGGTTCTTTTGGCTCGCCTTGGCTATTATGATGATCCCAATGGCGGAGATGATTTGAATATCCGGGCGAGGCTCAATCGGTGTTTCCAGCATTTCAAGCTGTGGCGAATGGCAGCTGGGAAAACAGCAGCAGTGCGGTATTTCTCCGCATCGCTCTTCAATTTGAAGAGACTTTCTGACTTTGCATGGTCCAACACGAAAGGGTCGGACACCATGCTCCTGTTGGAATACCTCAGCTTCTACCTGACGATCTTGCTGAGGAGACCCAATTTGCCTGCCACACATGTTGTTTTGTTTCGTGTGCTGAAGAAGACGATCGGGGAGTCCCAGAAGGCCTTCAATCTCATGTACAAACATGGGCTTTGGCTCCGGAGAGCATGTGCACAGAACCTGTACTTGCGACTGATGTCGGTGCTTTCGGGATACCAGTATCTCGCTCAGCATGCCTTGACGATGGGCATGACTTTCTATGCACTGAAACCCAAGTTCCATGCCATCCATCATGTGGCATATGAGCTCCGGGTAGCAGTGCTTACCGATGCAAAGCTGATCCCCAACCCTATCACTTGGAACTGTGAAATGGGAGAAGACCTGATCGGTCGAGTCTGTGCTCTGTCGTTGAAGGTTTCGGTCACGACGATCAGCAAAAGGGTGCTGCAGCGGCATTTCTTGAAAAAAGCTGCTTTGATCCGGAGGCATCGAAAGAATCGATCGATGCGAAAGCTGCGGCTCTGAATTGCTCCACGGGCTCTAACTATACCATTCCCTAAAATTATAATTAAGTCAGGTTTAGGGTCTGGGTATAAGCACAGGAAGCCCAAGGAGCACCAGGGCTGCAGCAAGGAGTCCAGCAGCGAGGTGCCGAATGGCCGGGCAAAGATCAAGGGTGGAGTGCCGGGGTGTAGGGGTTTCGGGGTGTTTAGGGCTTACGGCTTCAGGGTTCCTCGAACGAAACCCCTCTAATCTCCAAAAAGGCTTTGGGGTGCTTAGGATTTAGGGCTGCAGGATTCTCTCAACGATATTCAATTGTTCTGAGCCACCATGCCTCAGCCCAAAAACCCCAGGACTTCGGGCTCTCAAGGCCTCGTACTTCCAACCCCGAGCCGCCTGAACCACGAATTCCCAAACCTTTGTTGCAATGCTTCCATGACCTGCCAAAACCACTTTACTGTTCGAACATTTCCCAGCCTCAACCCCAAATCCATTCAGGGCTTCCGGGCTTCAGGGTTTGGGTCAGACTTCGTGCTGTTATCGTCTGCATTGCAAGTTTTCTTGTCTTGACATCATGACTGTAGTATCCTTGGCGGCGTTTCTGCTTTTTTGTCTGCGTTTTTGTTTATTGTCGTCTGTTCTGGGATTTGGGGGCGAATATTATTGCCGTTTTCGTTGGCGGCGAAAATAAACGCCGGAGGATTCTATAGGTATATGGTATAGCAGCATGCATGTATGTGTATAACTATAATATACTGTATGTGTGTGTATGTAATTACGCATGTATGTACGTACATGAGCACATAGGTACGTAGGTGCGTAGGTATGTATGTATGTATGTATGAATGTATGTAGAGAGGCAGAAGAGTGCCCACAACGCATAAACCTAAACAATACTGTAATATCCACGTATCTAACCGAGCTGTCAGGGCATCGTTTGTGAATGTTTCGAGTCTGCCGGATAGGAGGAGAAGCTGATCGTTTGGTCTCACGCTGAAAATCCTTGAGCTAAAGGTGTTGTGAATATCTCCAACTTACACATATAGCGAACTTCAGAAAGTTGGAACATGGAATGGGGGATTCCATATACTTTAGCTTAAGGGCATCAAGACTAAATTTTCCAATCTTTCTGGCTACTGCCCTAGCTTCCTCCAGCAAGGCTTCGCCCTCGCACCCCCGCAACTCGCACAAGGCAGGCAAGGTTTCACGACAAGTTGGGGCAAAACAAGCCCGACATCACAAACGCACTGGTCCGGAACCCAATGCATCATGCCAGCCGGCCCGAGGTTTGGGGTTGCGAGTACATTATAGTATCAGGCAACGAAAAAACGCTGCTGCAGGTGAGAGTGTAAGTCGCCCTCCAGAAACCACGCCGTTCCTTCCGCCTTAGTTACAGCGGGCCTGCCCTCAAAGGGTTTTGCGTATAGAACTTAATATGGGTCTTATGGTTTTGGGGCTTAAGGTTTCAGGGTAATAAGTGCGGCTTGTTACAGCGTGATTTAGGCCGTCTTGGTGTCTGGCTGTCAAGACTGGCAGCATCGGCACCAGAACCCCTTTCTCTCCAAAGCCCACTGTAGCTTGCGAAAAAACATAGTGCCTGAACAATTAGAATAGGGTTTTGGGGCCCAATATACTAGAATCATAATCAGGAACCCCCATTTTAGTATTGGTATTTACTTAGGCCCCCCACATTATGGCAAATCCTGCGACTCCCTAACCAGGAGGAGAGCCCAAAGCAACAACTCCCCCATTTCCAGCCCGAGCACCATCCCGTAGCAGCCGGTTTAGGGTTTAAAGTTTATGGAACGGTATGGATATCTGGGGTTGCTCTCAAGGTCCTTCCACAAAAGGTGTAGAGAATGCACTTTCGTAAAAGGAGGTCCTGTCCCAAGTACAAAGGGCAATGGCCACATGGGATACTGAACAACTACCCGATTTTGAATTTGCGATAAAGCAGACCCGTGCCCTGGATACAAAACCCACAGGAGACTACTGAGAACCGTCTATTTGATGTAAACCCATGATCAACAAAAACTACCGACTCCTTAGACAGGAATTTAATACGAGTAGGAGGTAACAAAGTCACCAAACCAGAAGCTGCTCTGAACCGTGTTGGTTTAGGGTTTGGGGGGGCAGATCGACGCCTCATAGACCCTGTTTGCACCCGTGACTCTTTGCTGCCAAAATTACTTTGGCAGCCTCCACCCTTAAAACCTAAAGTCCTACACCCTATATAAGACGTAAACTTAAACCCTAATCTCAAAACAAGTGCAAACACGGCCTCGAAGCCGATCTTCGGCGGGGCAATGAAAGCTTTTAAGCCTGTCTCGGGGAAAGCAGCACGTCTCGCTCGAGTATATGACATATTACTCTATTGGGCGTTGTGACTCAGGAGTGGCGAATTCTACCATTCAAAGCCTGTGGTGTCTAGGTTTCTAAACCCTAAACCCATGATGAGATTCGATGGCTTTGTGGATACGGGCATATCCTTTGCATGGTGGCGTGCTGGAACACTGTTCCCTTGGCATCTGGCACACGCCTTAGGGTCGGCCTGTGTGTGCCCGCTGTGCTTGGAGCTTGTCTCCCTCGGCACTGGCCACACTCCGTCGGCCCGTTACTGATTGGGCTTACGGTTACACGCAAGGTCTTGCTGAGGCATGCCTGCTGTTGCTTGCCACCGCGCATTATGCTTTCGTTTGCCAAGTCTCTCACTCTGAATCCGCGAAGACAACCACGCTATCGTAACCGTCACGAGGTTTGGAACTACTCGTTTGCCCTTTTTCTGGCAAGCGGTGTTGCGAAGTTGTTGAGCCTCTTGATCGTGTCTGCTATACTGCTAAACCCTCCATGGTGAAACCAGTGAGGCGGCAGTATGTGTCCCAGATTTACGGCAGATATGCAACAATCCAGACGTGCTAATGGTACAGTAATCAAGGCACTCCTCCCAGTATCGCGCAGTTTAATGTCCGCGCAGTTGATGACATTCTCACATCGCCCTCCGGGGCTTTTGGCGACTTGGCTTGGTGTGATAGGGGATGTTGCACGTCCTGTTCGTGATTGAATTTAACTTCTGTTGGTCAAGTCTCTTATGTCTAGCCGTTATCTAACCCTTGTAGACTTTTCTGCTCCTCCAGAACCGTCCCTCGTGCCCACCATGCAGATACTTCGGCCTGGCAGAGTGGTACCATAAGCGAGCACGACACGGCGTATTACGGCGTATTGTCATGAAGACAGAGGCCTTTGCGGTGCAGCTTTAAGCGGGCACGACTGTTGGTTTGGATGGATATGTTCAGGACCTCACGAAGCAGTTTTAGCCAACAGGCTACGCAGGTTCTCGCAGGTTTGAAGTCCGTCTGTCGAGCATCAGTCTTGTACAGCGTCACCTCGAAGTTCCAGGGTGCATTATGGTGCATTCATGTGGAAGTGCAGCAGCCGTGGATGCCTTCGTTCGGGGGCACCAAAGCCGGTTTCTGACGAAGGTGCTTACCCGCCCCCTCCCCATTCCTGTCCCCTCCCCTCCCCCAACATCCTGTGTGTACGTCAAGACGAAATGCTGCCTTTGCTGCCGCTCCCAGGTATCGAAGCCACTCCCACCCTCCCCTGCACGTGCTGCATGGTGCCATGGCGTTTTCGGAGCGCCGTGCCTCGCGTCTTAACCCTCGCGGAGGGAGACGGGGGCGGGGGGGGGAGGGGAAGGGGCCGACTTCCCTCTCTCTCTCTCTCTCTCT